ACTATGACCCCCAATTTCTACACTACAAGTTAAATCTAGAAACAAACTCTCCCATTAATATACACGAACAGGAGAGCCCATTCAATCTACCCATAACGATGTGGGAGTTTGAGGAATCTCTCTCCGGTCTAAGGAACTCAAGCCCAGGCCCCGATAATATACCCAAGTTTTATCCAGTATCTTCCCTGTTAAGTTAAAGAACTCCTCTTGGAATTTTACAATCACATCTTTCAAAATCACAAATTTCCCAAGATCTGGTCAAAAGCGATAGTTATCCCCATTTTAAAATCGGGCAAAGAAAAATCGGATCCCTCGTCCTACAGACCGATTTTGCTTACATGCGTTATGTCCAAGCTGCTAGAAAGAATACTGAATAGAAGACTAACTTTTAGCTATGGAGCAAAGCGGATTTCGACGAAAACGGTCCACAAAGATAATTTAATTGATCTATAAACTGAAATATTGGACGCCTTCGCCAATAACCAAAAATGCCTAGCAGTCTTCTTCGATCTAAAAAGGGCCTACGATTGCGCATAGAGATTCAATATCCTAAAACAACTGGAATCCTGGAACATCCAAGGAAACATGTTACTGTTCATAGAAAACTTCCTCAAGAAGAGAAGAATTCAGGTGAGAGTCAATGGGTGCATGTCGGAAGAATTCACGCAGCAGAATGGAACTCCGCAGGAGTCCGTGCTGTGTAACTCTATTTTTAGCAGCAATTACCAATATCTCTAATCAAATATCCCTCCCCGTAAAGTTCCGATCATTCGCTAACGATTTGGTCCTCACCATAAAAGGGAAGAATATACAGTCTATGTGCACATTTCTCCAACAAAATATACTAAATCTGCGAAACTGGTCACTTACACATGGTTTCAAATTTCCATAGAAAAAACAAAATGCGTCATTTTCTCAAGAAAAAATATAGAAACAATTAAGACTCTACCAAGAAAACCTAGAATTTGTCAACAAGATAAAATTTTTGGGACTTATATTCGACAGAAAACTATCCTGGATCCCACACATCAAGAAACTAGTTGTAGATTGCCAAAAAGGACTTAACTTAATGAAAATACTATTAAACAAGTCTTGGAGTGCAAGCACTTCCTCCTTGCTGAAAAACTACAGAGCAACCATTAGGTCAAAACTTGACTACGGATGCATAGTCTATAACTCAGCAACAAAATCCACCTTATCACTTTTAGACAAGCTCCACAACTCAGGAATATGCATAGCCTTGGGTGCAAGTCCGATAGAAAGTTTGCTTTGTGAAAGCGCAGTGAGCCGCCATTGGAAGTCCGACAAATGATGCTATCCATCTGTTATGCAACAAGAATTGTCCAGTTTTCTCCCGCTCGTCATCTCACATACAGCAATGTATTTTCAAAAAGATATAAAATAATCTACGACACCAAACCTCGAACAAAACCAGCCTTCTACGAGAGACTTAACCGGTACTGCAACAATCTGAACCTGGAATTCCCAGAGTTGGCTCCAAGTAACATTACTCTAGAAGCACCATGGACCCTTAATAAACCGAGCGTTGACATAAGCCTAACTAGATACGACAAAAATAGCTCAAACAAAGCTGTAATACACACACAACTACACCAAATCATGGACAAATTCCGGCATAGCACAAAAATTGACACTGATGCCTCTAGAACAAATGATGGCACTGGTGCGGCTGTAGTGGCAGACACAATAAAGTTCAAATACCAGCTCCATCTAATAACATCCACATATACTGGCGAACTATTTGCGATATCCCAAGCACTTAAACACATACAGCAAAGCCCACCACAAAAATATGTAATTCTAAGTGACTCCCTCAGCTCGATAAATGCATTAACCAAAGTGTATCCAAGTGATAATCTAGAAGCCTCAATCAAAAAGTCACTTCTCAATATCCAGAACGATGAGAACACTGTATCCTTCATTTGGGTCCCATCACATGTAGGAATTCCGGGGAATGAGGCAGCCGATTTTTGTACAAGAGGAGCAATAACCGACGTATCCATCATTCAGTCAGGATCAACCCCCAGATCGGCAACACACGTCTGACCCATGAACATCTCCTCAATAAAACGGAGCCGAGCCACCGAGATGTACTACCTGTGACGAAAGCATGACTGTGAAAAACTATCTGGAAGAATAAACAATGTTCGCTGAATGAAAGAGCACGAGTGCACGTAGTGCACGAGTGCCTTTTTCAGTTAAAAACGCATGAGTGCAAATTTGTCGAAAATTATAAATATATTTCCATTGCACGACTTGTATTTAATGAGAGAATTTCATAAATCAAAAATTTAAATTTTTTGTCAAAAAATGTCAAAACACCAGTTTTCGCACCAGTTACTATGGAATTATCTGATAATTTGCACTAGTGCAAATTATCGCGTAATTACAATCTGATTGGTTCAAATCAACAATCAAAACATGTCAGTTCATTGTTGGAATACCAGTTTTGACAGATGTATGAAATTCTCAAGCTAATTTCAGTTTACTTTGTTATAATATACTTTTTGAGATGCAGAGTGAATATTTAAAGACTTGAATGCAGGAAAATCGGGATCTTGGCGAACGGTTAGTTTAAAAAAATGTCCAGATGACATTTTGATCCACAGTTCACATAATGAGCAAATGAAGGCCTACAAAAGCTTAGATTCTTACGAATATTTCGAAAATGGCTTTATTTCAGATGCAGGAATAGTGGTAGTGAAAAATTTTCACGTTTTAATTGGAAAATGTTAAAACAAAGGGCAATGAAAAAAGCCTGACATCATCCTTGTTACCTTGTTGAAACTACTTACACAATCAACTTCAACGCCCGTTTGTGGCATTTTTAATTGGAAGAAATACTAATGAAGTCAATAAAATAAAAAATAAACAGAGTTCATTCACAAAACAACCACAAAATACACTTTAAAAAACTTTAATGGATCAATTCTGTGCACATCTGTAAGCAATTCTATAAATTTCTATAAGCCTATAGCTGCCTTAAGACAATTTATAATTCTGAACTTCCTGTAGATTACAGAATATATTATAGGATCGTGAATATTTCCGATGGAGTGTTTGGCAATCGATGGGTTTTGCAGTGTCTATGGGCTTATAGAAATGTATTGATTTGCTTACAGATGTGCACAGGATGGACCCGTATATTACATACTCTCATATACGGGATAATGAACTTCCGCCACAACGCACTTTTTGACAGGTCGTTGGAATGCCTAATAGGCTCGTACAGCATATTTTTTTTATTACATATTCTAAAAGAGCGTATTGAGTTTAGCAGTTGTGCAAAATTTCATAATTTTGCGAGCCCTTGTTCATATGTAAATAAATTATCAAAACGCACCAAATTTGGAAGTTTTGAAACACGCGGTGAAGTCACTGCATCTCTCACGTTGGTCGTGTGACGGCCTTTAGCCCGTCTTGACTCGAGAGATGACGTCATACCATCTCTAAGCGATGAATTTCTGAGGCATAATGTTTTATTATTCAAAGCGGCATAACTTTTTTAATATTTATCCAATTGCGCTGAATTTTTTTTTTGTGTGCTATATGTGAGTAATACTCCATAAAAATATCAAAAAACGTGGTTAATGAAACTTCACTGAACGAGCCTGGTACTAATAACCCTATGTGGTTGATGCACCTTAGCTCTTTTAAATAAAAAAAATAAATAAAAAAATAACTTTTTAGGTGAAATTTCTTTCATTATAGTCTGGGAGACGACCGCATTTTTCCTACCCTGATCGAGTTATGTGTCGACACTATTATCAATATATAGTATTATGTGCATCTATTAACCAGTATTCCTGCCTGGGAGCAAATGCTGCCGGAAATATCTTTTAACAAATTATTAACAAATTGGAAAAAACGTAACACTACCCCCATCGAGTTATGTCCTAAGTAGGGTGACAGATTGAAGGTCTCGATGTCCCCTATCTAAAAAGTCGATTCTGCCTCGTGAGAACTTGCCGGAAAAGGGTGGCAGGGCAGCTTATTGGAGCAAGGGCCCGCGGTTTCAGCTTTGACACCTATCAAGTTTTGCGCTGAATGATGTGTCAAATTAAAGGTGTCATTAAGTTGATTTAAGGTCTCTTCGCACAGAAATCCCAAACCAGAAGGAGTGAATTTCATTGTTTGAAACTAGTTTCCTGATTGTTTCCAACCAATGAAATTCGTTCTGACTGGTTTGTGATTTCTGTGCGAAGAGACCTTAAATCAACTTATTGACACCTTTAATTTGACACATCATTTAGTGCAAAGCTTGATAGGTGTCAAAGCAGAGACCGCGGGCCCTTGCCCCAATAAGCTGTCCTGCCTCCTTTTTCCGGCAAGTTCTCACGAGGCAGGATCGACTTTTTAGATAGGGGATATCGAGACCTTCAATCTGATAGCCTACTTAGGGCATAACTCGATGGGGGTAGTGTTACGTTTTTTTTCAATTTGTTAATAATTTGTTAAAAGATATTTCCGGCAGCATTTGCTCTCAGGCAGGAATACTGGTTAATAGAGGCACATAATACTATATATTGATAATAGCGTCGACACATAACTCGATCGGGGTAGGAAAAATGCGGTCGTCTCCCTAACTATTATAAGTAACTTTTTTTCTTCACAATAAATTCTAAAAAAATCAAGATGGCGGCCATTTTTTTCCAAGTTCCACCAATGCGACAAAGTGCGACTTTTGAGGGATTAACTAGGACCCTATTGACTACTCCATTTCCGCAGAGATCTTTTTGTTACTATTTTTTTCTACCTCACCTGCATAAACCTGCCTAGATTGACTTCACTATTGGTTTCATTAATTTGTACGTTTCAGAAAGCAATAAAATCAAGTAAATAACTAATAGTTATCGCTCATTATATAGCTATCAAATTGATTTTTTTGTTGGAATAGCCCCCAGCATAACAAATTGCATTGGGTTCCCACCATTTTTCTTAAACAGGACGATCGCGGTAGCCTCAGGAGCGTCGTGAAACAGACGAGCATCGCAATTGTGAAATTGCGACTCACGCGACGCTACCCAACCGCGATTATTTCATTTGAACGTTGAATGTGATGCACACGCGGTAACCGAATCGACTGATGCGCTGAAGTGTTTTGGTACATCGTTTATTGATTCATATTGACATTACACTACATAGTTTTTGACATTTTTTGTGAGTTTGTTTGAGTACCCCTGGATAAAAGATGTTCATTTTACACCAAAAATATTATATCATGGTATGTTTTTTTTTTAAATTGATAGTTTGATAGTTGTGTTAAAATTCGCAAAGCAAAAATTTTGTTTCAAATTAGTTGAAAATAAAAATAGATCAAAACGGAATATGTAGTCTAATATCCTGATGAAAATTAACAAAAACGAGATAAGGTATCTTATCCACCGAAGTAAAACCCTCACAAGATTTACTAAAGGGTAGGTACCTACTTTTCGAAATTGGTCGAAGCTTGATTATCAGAAACAACAACGGCCGCAAAAATTTCGAAAACTCTAATAGTCATTACAGTTTTCGAAGTCTTTGCGTATGAAATATAGATTTTATAGTTATTCTGTTATGTTTCTTGTGTCTAAAATGTTATCCATGATTAAAATTTTTAACCTCACAACTCGCCTCATAAGCTCATAAAAAGGCATTGGTTAAGCTATATTTTTTTCCATGTCGAAAATACTTTTGTGAAAAGCTTACGAGTCAATTTCTTTATTCTATAATATAGATTATTTAACAATTAAACCTAGAGTATTTCAACTCATATTATACAACCCCTAGACATTGAGTAATTGCATTGGACTCTGCAGAAACATAGTGTTGAAAATCGATTTTATTTTAGACATTGGTTAGGGACATTCTGGATGCAAATTGTGGAGGTCAATGTGTACTTGAGCTTCAGTCTCTTTCTTGATGAATACGTTTCTGTCAATATAATCGATGTTAGATGTTAGGAATTAGAAGAAAAAATAAATAAAATTGAAGTGTTTTTAGTAGAAAATACAATTCCTTTATTCGACGATTTTTTTTACCCGCAATATCTCAATTATTGGGTAGGTAATAATTTAATAACTAAGAAAATTTACTTGTAGATCTCACAGTCTTTAGTGCAGATTTGCGTCCAAAAAATATTATTACTATAAAAAAGTTTAAATGGTGGATATTGAGCAAAAAACTGTCTCATCAAGATAGCTGCTGAAGCTCAAGGTCTTGGACCCCGTTAATTAAGTATGATTTGCATTTGCAGGAAATAAATATTTAAATCCGGTGCAATAGGGTTGATTGATGCGTTGTACCTTTTTTCATTTTTGCTAATTGGCTGTGCTGAATAGAATGTTACGGGGTATTTCATAACATGTTCAGCGCACTTCATAAGATGATGCGCCATATGTCCAAATCCTCTTGTTTCCGAGTTACCTAAATATTGTTAAAACTTCGGGTTCAGGTCGATGCGTTCAGATAGGATAATAGTGTTTAGACCCTCTTCAATGCAAATTGAAACCACTCAAATTCCAGTGAACAATAATTTGAATTTATAATTTTGAAAACATCTATAACAAGTATATGATGGATGTCGAATTGCAAAATTAATGAATATGGATTCAACATGTTTCTTTCTAAATGAACAAGGACTTCAAAGTTGATTTGATAGAGGAAATATAATACAGAATAAAAATAAATGTTGTAGTTAACTATTCTCTCTATCTTCCGAGTGTCGCTGAGGATATTTTGAATTTTTCCAATGAGCTCTTGAGGTAGTTGTTGGAGAGTTACCTTTCATAAAATGGAGCTCTCTGCTCTTTGGGTCATTCCTCTGATTCCCCAGGGGAATTGTTCAACACTGCCGTGACATCACCTTAGCTGATTCAGGCACATACTCCAAATGATGATGTTGCAGAATAGGAACCAAAAGAAATAAAACAATATCAGGTTCACGTGATTCGAACTGTCCAATTCTCCGGTTTTATTGAAAAGAAAAAATCTTGATGGAATTGAAAAAAAAAAAGAAATCACTGCTATTTAGAATGGTGTATCTCAAGATATCATGATAACTTTATCCCGTTAAGGCATAAATGCTCAATCCAGTGCGGTTAATCCGAATATGCAGTTATAATTTTAAAATATACTGGCAAATGGAAATGAGTAGATATTTGTGGAGGAACACTTAGAGTTTTTCTTTTGGAATCAAATTGGAAATGGTCGAAAAAAATATTCATAATCTCCGTAGATTTTTAAATTCAATTGAGAATTTATCACAGAATTCTCCAATGAATATCAATTATAAAGCTTATGACTGTGAATGCAAATTGAAGAGGTCGATGTAATTTTGAGCTTCAATCTCTTTCTTGACGAATACGCTTCTTTCAATATATTCGAAGTAAGTTAGAAATTAAAAGAAAATGAATATTAAAAATGTGGAGTTTTCCTAGAAAAAATAATTTAATAAAAAAAAACTTTATTTGTAGAGCACACAATTCTTAGTCAGTGCAGTTCTATCTGTTATTGTTATAGAAAAGTGCGTAAAAAAATATTTAGTCAATTTTTTTTGGTTTCACCCATACTTTCAGATGTGGGTAGGTATTGGGCAAAAAACTGTCACATCAAGATAGCTGCTGAAGCTCAAGGTCTTGCACCGCGTTAATTAGATAAGTTATGATTTGCATTTGCAGGAAATAAATATTTAATTAATTTGTGCAAGAAGGGTTGATCGTTGCGTCATACCTTTTTTTTTCTCTTTTTTTATTCGCTAATTAGTTGTGCTGGGTAGGTAGTTATATCAAAGAAAATAATAATAGAATGTCACAGGGTATTTCATATTATGTGGTGCGGACTTCATGAGGTGATCAGTTATCTCACAAAGACAAGAAAGTTTCCATGAACATATGTCCAAAATCCTCTTGTTTCCGAGTTATTCCTAGTATTTAATATGTTAAAACCTCAGGTTCAGGTCGTTGGATTCAGTTAAGATAAAATAATATAATGTTTAGACCTTCTTCAATGCAAATTAATGTGGGTTTATAGAAAAAATATAAATACATAAATATAAAAATATATTAAAGAAACAAATTTGTAAATTTTCCAATCTTAACCGCTTGAGGTAGTTGTTGGAGAATTTTCCTTTCATAAAATAGAGCTCTTTGCTCTTCGAGTTATTCCCCAGGAGAATTGTATAACCGTGACATCACCTCAGCTGATTCAGACTTCAGAGGATGATGTTGAAGAATAGGTACCAAAAGAAATTAAACAAAATCAGATCCACCTGATTCAAACTCTCCAATTTCTGAGTTGTGTTAAAAGGAAAGAATCTTGATGGAATTAGAAAAAAATTAATTAAAAAACCACTGCTATACACTGGGTGAGTTTTCTAAAGTGTTCCAATGCGATATGTCAAAAGCATCTGCAATTTTTTTTTTAGATTTTTGTGACGTGATAAGTACACGGGGGGAAACATTTTACGATATTTTTAACATTTGTCTCTTTACCCCCTTGAGAGGAGTAGAGGACATTTTCTTATTTTAAATGGAAATATGTGTTTTTTACTCTAAAATGCGATTCTCCATAAAATATGGAGTCTGCTTGCAATTTTTTTTTCAAATTGTCCAACTAAATATGGAATTATGACGGAATATGTAACTACAATAAAAAAAATTCTTATCGCCTAAATTTCAATTATTTATCGTCTAATATGCCTAAGAAGTTGTTCAAAATGACCGCCTTCGACTTCCAAACACTTTCTTATTCTTTTCTGAAATGAATTTCGTACTCGCTGTAACATTGTTGGTGACACTAAAACAAGCAGAACGAATTCTGTTTTTCATATTCTCTGGAGTCGTAGGAACAGTAGCCATTACTTTATCCTTTATAAATCCCCATTAAAAAAAAAAAAAATTAAGGTGGGGTCAAATCTGGCGAAAGAGCAGGCCAGTTGACAGGACGACCTCGACCAATCCACCTGTTTTCAAATATTCTATTTAAACGATTACGGGCCTGTATGGCAGAGTGGGCTGGAGCTCCGTCGTGCTGGAATCATACGTCTGGATTTATATTCTGGTTTAGTAATCTAGGTAAATGATTTCTTAAAAAAGATTATGAACCTGTACATCTAAATGACCTTGAAAAAAATGCGGGCCAATAACTCTATCCTCGAAAATACCACACCATACGTTAATAGAAGGGATGTTGATTTGGTACAATTCTCATCCAGTGAAGATTATTCGCCGCCCAGTAATGCATATCGTGTCTGTTCGCTTTCAAAAAGACAAACAACAAAAACTGAATATGAACTGATAAAAAATAATTGAATTTGAATCTTAACTGGCCACAATTATTGGAAGAAGCTTCACCAGAAAAAATAACATTAGGTACTCAAAAAATGGTCCTTTTCGCGCATTTTTCTTGAAACCTACGTGCAAACATTCTTGCGATTCTCAAAGTCATGTCCGTGAAGCTCTTGATGAAGTGTAATATGGTAAGGATGAAACTTGTACCTGTGCAGAATTGCTATAATTTATGTTTGACTTATTCCAGCATCTAAAGCAAACCGCCTGGTACTTGTTTGAGGATCAATAGCTACCGCTCCTAAATACCAACTGCCATATTTTCATTTGTTTGAGTTCTAGTCCAAACTGTTGGTTTGGCTTTTAGACTACCAGTCATACGGTTTCTGGTTTCCAATCTTTTAAAGGCCATATGAGATTTTGGAATATTCGGAAACCTCTCTCTCCACAGTACTGCAGCCTGCCTAAATTTTTTTCTGCACTGTCCCAAAATTAATACCATATCAACATCTACATTAAAATTCGCTTCCATGTTTTTTCTTTTTGAACACAATTTAGTTATCAATAACACGTAAAAATTCTTGTGTGACATACTTGAATAAATATTGGGGTTTCCATGGCAACTGTAATATAATTTAATTTAACTAAACCATTTTTGATTATAATTTCATAACCAGTAGATTAATTTAAAATTTGTTGCTTATGGACAAATTGAAAAAAGAAAATCGCTAACGTAGGTACTCCATATTTTATGTAGATTCGTATTTTAGAATAAAAAACCCATCTTTCCATTTTAAATAAGAAAATGACCCCCACTCCTCTTAAGGGGGCGAAGGGACAAATGTCAAAAATATCGTTAAATATGTCCCCCCGTGTAGTTATTACGTCACCGAAATGTCAATTAAAAAATTTGCAGCTGTTTCTGACATATCCATTGTAACACTTCAAAAAACTCTCC